CACCTCCGCGGTTGTCTATCTGTGCTGGGGCTCGCAAGGCAGTCCTGGGTGCCGGGGGCGTGCGGGGTTACGGAGCGGGAAAGGCGGCGGCTCCGGTTCCGGCTCGGCCAGGGCCCGGCCCCAGCCCACCTGGCTGGCTCTAAGGCCCCGGCGAGACCCTCGTGGTGGGCCCCTGCCGGGGCTGTGGGGTCGCTGGGCGTGCGGGGTGGTGAAGGAGTCTGGAGTTGGGGCTTTCAGCTTTCTTAGGATAACAAGAGACCCGACAAACATTGAAAGGAAACTCCTGGGAGGAAGGAAGGTGGAGATGGCGGTCATCTGGCCACATCTGCCAACACCTGCGCAGCCACCAGCAGCCAGGCTGTTAGGCCACATTGAACAGGTGTTGCATTTGAAGCCCCGTATGTTATGTTTGAAGCTCCACGTGTTGCATTTGAAGCCTGGAGACTTGAGATCCAGTTACTCCAACAGCCCAGCAAGGGCGGTTTATTACACTTATTAAAAAGGGGCTGAGGTGTATCTACGCCCAGGGGAGAGGGAAAGGGATGTGGGTAGGGATCTTTTTTTCTTGCCTTCTGCAATGAAAGCTATTGTAGCTTTCCCTCAGGACATAGTGGAAAGATGCACCAGAAAACATATTAAGTAAGACACAGAATATATATAGTATTTTTTCTAGTGGTCATTTTCACATGCTTAAAGACAGCTGGTGGCTCTAATTTAAGGGGACAATCTTAAGGAAAGAGAAATGAAACAGTTTTCTACGCTTGCTGACTAGGTTCAGTGTTAATTTGGGTAATTCCATTGAATAATGAAATGCTAATATTATTTCAGTTATTTTTCACCATGCTTCACTGGCAGCTCTTTGAACCACGTAATGTTCAAAGGAGGAATGATGATCTTGGTTTACTGTCTGTGCTGTCAGCCAAAAAACAGTTTTACTTTGGCAGCTGAAGGGCCATCCAACAAGAGACAGGTTTAGTTAATACTAATCTCGGTAAGATTTAAGCCATGGCCTCAGAGCTCTTGGATAGGTTTTCTTGTCTGACTAGTTACAGCCTAAATAGCTATCAACACTGCAACTTAGAGAGCCCAGATTGAAACCGTAGATCTGAACATCTGAGGTTTCGCAGTTGTTCAGATCTAAATCCAGATCATAAACCTGCAGCAGAGGTCTACCTCTAAGCCAGTTCTGTCCTTTATGGCACAACACACAAACCACAATGATATTTTTTAGGCGTAATTTACTCTGGGGGCCTGGCTCACAACTACGTCAGTTCAGTTTTATACCGGTGTAAAATTAACTTGTCTATTACTCTATTCTGTTTGACTCATATTGTTCCTAATAATGTCTGTTATTATTTAGTTAGAGGGAACCCAACCAGTTAGAGACATTTCAGTGAGTTAGCTCCATGGACTCAGTCTCTCTCATTTCACTTGAAATTAGATGGCAAATTCTTCACACCAGAAGCTACACCTACTAATTGTGAAGCAATTCCAGATACTGTAAAATAAGACTGGACAAACTTCACACTTGCACACGCCATCTTTACTCTTAAACCAGAGTGTAAGGTAAATGCTATAAGATATAATTTGCTGCTGTTTGTTATAAAATCACATAAAGAGGTCTGTTGTGCTCTGCATTGGAGCAATGAGCAGCATGACTACAGTTTCTTCTTATGTGAAGAGTTCTGCTGGAAATAAACCAGAGCCTGTGGGTTGTGCTGTGCCTTGACAGCCCAGGATCCATCTTCCTCACCTGGAAAGTGGTACTTTAGACCTCTCTCACCTGACTCCAGCTTCTAACATAACCCACATCTCTTTGCATGCCTTCCAGGTGAATGCTTTCTGCTAATTTTCAGGAGGTAGATGCATAAAACTGTGTCTCTTCCAGCACTCCTACTGACCCCACAGTAAAACATACCCTGATGCATGAGTCAGGTACCTTGTTTTGCCCCATTTACTTTGAGTACCAGTTTCGAAACAGCCTGGGTCTCTGGGTGAAAAGGCCTAATAACTTGTCCAGTTGTACTAAAAAGTTGTTCTTCCACATCAAGACTCATCCTCTGAGGTACCTTCATTCCTCAGAGGGCTTTTTGCTGCTATCAGTTGGTCCGGCTGCTGTTGACATCCTCCTGGGACTGTGGACCTGAATCAAGCTTGCCATTGTGACTTTTATGGTGGGGTTCTGCCTGTAAAAAGATTTGTTTTCCTCTCTTGGGCTTGAGTGCCAAACGTATCCAGGCAAACAGAAACTCCCAAGCTGTCTAAAAAGGTTTTAAGTTTCATTACAAAAGCATAGCTTAAGCATACCTTCCCCTTGAGTGCTGTTGGGAGCTGAATCTCAACGAGACATTTTCCTGAAGGTGGGTGGGAGTCCCCGTCGGCAATGCCTTTGCCATGTCAGAATTGCTCTGCTGTTCATTGCTGTTTGTGACAGTTGCTTATTTTTCACAAATGGAATTAAATCACTATGTCTCATATCAGTCACAGCCCTGACTTTCTGAAATGCTGATTTATGATGGACAGTCTATGAAACTGCTCCAAATTACAGGGAAGGTATTTCTGTATACCAGTACCCTTTCACATTTTTCTGAAGATTAGATATCTATATTGCAAATCTTTGCCAATCTCCATGGCAACTAAACACTCACTGCCTAGGTTATGTATTCAAGTACAGTTATTTTCAATTCTTTTCCAATTAAAATTTCACAACAGCCTCATTTTCTTGCTATAAGCACAGTACTAGCAACAAGGCATTGTAGTATTATGGTGCAAAATACAGGTGCTTATAGCTGTACTGAATGTTTCTGATTGGAAACTGCCTGGTAGTAAAAGGACTGCATCAGATCTTCACTTTTCTTAATCACCTCTAGATTCTTCTGCCTGAAAATACAAACGCTGCCAAGTCGTGAGAGTATCCTTTTCTCCATCCTGCTGGAAATGGAAACAATTACCCCATATGAAATTGTGAAATAACAGCATTGTTGATTACAGGAAATTAGTAAACCAAGGACAAGATAGTTTCATTACAATGTAAAAATCATCAAGAAAATTTGCCTCTCTATACAAAAATATATTAATGTGAAATATAACTTTTTATTAAACTATAATAAATCATTATAATTGTGCTCATTTAAAATTTATATTCCCAGAAGTGTATCTATAGTATTCATTTATTTGTGTTTGTTATTAAATCATTCAGACTATGGATTCTCTTCAATGATAAGCAACTTTGTGTCTGGATAGTGTCTAGCATTACAGGGCCTCAGTCCATGAATAGAAGCACTAAGTAAAATGGTAATAAACATAGCAGTATTAAAATGATATCCCTTACATGAGCGTCTGCTGAGTAGCTGATTGTTTAACAACCACTGTAAAATCTGTATGATGATTTGCTTGGCAATACAAAAATGCTGAAATAACAGTGGGCCACATTCAGCCAATTCTGTAACTCCTTGAAGACGTTCTTGCTGCTAGAGATTAAGTGAGTTAGGAAACTGAATGACTGCTCATCAGGAAATGAAAAGATTTTTAAATGTGTTTTTTAATGTAAGCAAAGCAGATATATAGGCACAGTCTTTGCATCTCTACAACGGGCATTTGAAGGCCTTTTCTGGAAAATGTGCATTCTTGTGCCAGTATAGTGTGTCCTGTCTCTCTGAACCAAAACTGGTACATCAGAAAACACTTTTTGTCATGAATGCAATTTGTAGGTCCTTTACTTGCATTTATGAAACAGTTATTGTTTGACAAGGGTTTATAGTTTTCATATACAGTTTTTGTGAGGATGAATGGGAAGTGTTTTCCATTCTTAAACACGTGAGTTGTCAAAGCAACATGTAATTCACAGTAATTTTGATGAAAGTTTTTTCAGTGTCATGGGTGAAGTCTTGGCCCCATGGAAAATTGAGGAGCTGTGGACCCCAGCTGGCACCCTGAAGCATCTCTAGAAATGCCATACAGTTACTCATGCAGGCAGGTGTCTTGCAGTAGATTGTGTCAATACCTGGAGTTATAAAGTAAATAGCAGAAAATGGCATAAAGATAATCTACCCAGCTGACAGCCTCATTCATCACTGATTCGTTTTCATCAAAACAAACAACCCGTATAAACTTTATAGGGAAAATACATTTAATTTCTTAAATAGAACTACATTTGTTTTGATTGGCCATGTAAGGATCCATTTCTTTCTTGTACAGGACTGAGATGTTAGCTTCATTCACTGGTCAGGCAGTCCACAGGTATACCAATCAGTTGTGCAGATGAGTTATTTTACTTGTTAGTCTTGAAGGTACTGCATTTCAGTTTACTCTTTTCTGTGTTACTTGAGAAAATGTGGAAATTGGTAGAGGCTGACTGACCTGCTTTATCCCTCTGCTTTGCTCTAATTGTCTTTGGTTTCTCTTTGCATTCTGGACCATTTCTGTTGTGGTGTGTATTTTCAGGCAGGCAGAGCAGAAGAAAGTACCCCAGAATACAGCAAAACGTTCCTATTTTTGCATTTTAATTTTTGTAATGTCATTCCCATATTTTAACTTTGTATCCCAGTCTTGGACACCTTAATACTTCCTTTGCTTCATTAGAAGTGAGCTGATACCTTAAACTGCTTTCCATCCCTGAAGGATTAGGTGTAGCTTACAACTTTGTTCTGAGAGACAAGTAGCTGGTTGTACCAGTGTTTCTAGTGTCTCCCTCATTTGATCCCATGCAGGTGCCTACAGCAAGAATATGACTCCAGTCTGCCTACCGCTAGTGTCATCATCTGTTTCCATGACGAAGCGTGGTCTACTCTGCTTAGAACTGTGCACAGTGTTATGGACACAGCCCCAAAGGCCTCCCTCAAGGATATCATCCTAGTCGACGATCTCAGCCAGCAAGGTAGTCCCTATTTCTCTGTATGTGAACTCTTTCTTCCAAAGCTTCAGGGAAGAAACTGTCCTCCTCCAAGAATCGTGTGAGGAGAGTAGGAGACAAAGAGGACCCTCAGGAAGAGAGCTAAGCAGAGCCCTGAGCTGGCTGCCAGGTTTCACTCTACCATCCCTAGAATTCAGCTTAGCCTTTCAACTTTGAAATAAGTTTCTTTTTTCCCCATCATTTCCAATCATTCTGAACATTCTTACTTTAAAATAAGATCATAGTATGCAAATCTTAGCCTTCCCACTGGACCAGATCTACTGTAATAATTTCCAGACTTGGACTTTGGCTGAAGCATAGAGTGGAAAACTCCACATAGCTAAAGTAATCCAAAGGGCTTGGGAAAGCCAAACACCTGTAGTATCTCATTCTGATCTGTGCCTTTTATGAGATGATGAGAGCATCCACCTTTTACTGAAGACAGGAGAGGAGGCTATAAAGTTTCCCACAGGAATAGCTTCACACCTAGTGAATCTCAGTTTCCATTAGTCTCTTTGACTAATGACTTTTCTTTGACATTATGATGCTGTGGGAATATCTGGAACACGGCCCACTTGGCCATGTAAAACAAATGCCCCCAAAACATTTTATCAGCAAGAAATAGCATCTTCTACTGCCTATTGCTTTTCTATAACAGCTTGAATCAAAGCTAAAACATTTCAGTGACTGTTCTGTTTCTGACAGGGCCCCTGAAGTCAGCTCTGAGTGAATACATCTCTAAGCTGGATGGTGTGAAACTTATCCGGAGCAACAAGAGGCTTGGAGTCATCCGAGGCCGGATGCTAGGAGCTGCGCGGGCAACCGGGGATGTGCTCGTCTTCATGGATTCACACTGCGAGTGTCAGAAGGGCTGGCTGGAACCTCTCCTAGCCAGGCTGTCCAGCAACCGGTAAATATCCCCGTGACCTCTGAGCTCCCCGCGTATGCTAATTTCTGCTGAAAGAGATGTACTTGGAAAGATTTGAGGTATATTTTTATCCTCTCTTTGTTACCTTCTTCCTTCTGGTCACATTGCTTTTATTTTCTACCTTATCACCACATGCATCACTGATATGTGGGAAGCAGGATAGCACACACAGCTGATAACCCTCTCTTCACACACAGTATCACTGAACTGTCGGAGTTTGTATCCAGTTAGACCTATAAGAAGGCTTCCTGGTGGTCTGAATTAAAAAGGTTGCAGTCTCAAGCTGTTTGGAAATTGGCAAACATCCACCAGAGAAACTACTGAAAGACTCCATTATTTTTACTTTTTAGCTGTCTCAGTCATGAAGCCAAGGAGTCTTTCAGTAGTTGCATTTGCACACAGCATTTGCAGCTACAAGCTTTGTCCTCTTGAGCCAGTTTGGCTACATACCAATGTCACCTGTACTGCCTCTGTTCCACAGAAAAAATAGACTTTCTTGGCAGCCAAGGCAGTTCTAGCTAATCATAGGTACTTTCACTGACTCCAAACTGACAGAGGAAGATACAGCTTTGTATTTTCCAAGTCTTTCATGTTTAGATTGGTGCTTGAGCCTGCTCGCTAATGTACAGCTGAGTACATCTATGCAGTCCCCAAGTCCTTCAATGAGATTAAATCACTGAAAATGTTTCAAGAATTACATGGCAGTAAATCCTTTATTAAAGGGACTTTTCTGAAAGAAAAATTTGTACATTAACTTGTCTATCATTACCCATAAGCCTCTTGGGAAAAAATTAATAATTGCCTGAGGGGGTAAAAGAAAAAAATACATCTTTAAAACTCTTACCCGACCGTTAAATAGTCATACTAAAGACCTTCAAAGGCTGTTCCCATGCAGTGGAACAAGCTGCTTTTATGGCTGATTATGTTTGCTTATAAGAGAATTAATTTGAGTTTTTAAAAATTATTGCATCATTGGGATAAAAAAATTAAAAATACTGCAAGCAAGAGTAATATTGCCCTAGGATGTCAGGAATATTCTTTTCTAAAAGATTCTCCTTGGAAAAGCAGATTATTTTTTGTCTGCTGACTTAATAGATGGTTTATTGCAAATATACTTCATGATTCTTCTGCCTTGAGCTATAGTCTATTGTTGATGTTCATGCAAAACTGTATCTGTATCAATTGACTAGTCCTTATTCAAGGTTGTATTGCTGATAAAAGAGTTACAAAAAGTCTCAGAGGAGAGCTCTAGTGAAGGGGGAGTTACAGTGGCAAGAGAGAAGTTAAGACCCCACCACAATTGTAATGATTCACTGTCAAAAATCTCAGCTAAGGGAATGCAAAGCCACCAAGCCTACTGTGTCTGAGATTTATGTAGCACTGTCACCAGGGGGGGAGAAAGGGATTCTCTTCCGTTATAGGGCTCATTCATTCCTCCAGGAGAGCAGAATTTAACACTGAGTTAGATAATGGCTAATTGGATCCATGGATCAAAGGTAGAAGGATATTTGAATAATAGCATGGTCTAAACCATCCTTTTCTGTATGCTGTATCAGTCACTGTGTCTGATCCTGGAGGCTTTGTCAACTGCTAGTGTGGAGAACCTGTGCCATTCTCCTGTGCACAGGGAAGAGATGCTCTAAGGCACCTGGCAATCACTTTCACTCACTGTCCTTCTCTCCCCAGCTGAAGAATGGTGATAACAACACTGACCCGATAAGGAAGTTAATTCATGATTTTTCCCAAATTGCTTGTAATGCTTGCATGGAGATCGCTATGGAAATGTAAAGCATTAGCATAGTCAACTTGGCTTCATTTAGCAGTTGAGGAGCTGTTAAATTGAATCGTGTGCACTCCCTGAGACTACCCAAATGAAGAAAGTAGAGTGAAAAAAGCTTACAGTGACTGGTGAAATATCCATTGTTGCTCTTCTTAATGTACCAATCAAGCTGCAACTCATGCACTTTTGCTGGAGAGACAGGATGGGAAAACACTTAATCGCCTAGCGCGAGTGAGTTGTTTGCTGGCAAGGAATAATGCAGCCTTTCCAAAGCTCAGACTTATGCAGGAGCTTAGCAGAGCTGGAGGGAGATTTTAACTTTGAAAATTGTGATAAAGCCTAATTTTCTAGACTCCTGTTCAAATATATCACTATTGTTGTGACTTGTCTTAGAGCGATGCCGAGAGATCCTTGCTAAGACCTCACAGTGAGTTGAACATACTCACACAAAGGGAGACACCCCCAGTTCTGAGTAGCCTGTGGTAATGACAGACAGGAGAAACATGAGAAGAATTATCCCAATTGTAGAGGTATGGAAATATTTGACAGATACTTGACTTGTTCCTGGTGATGGCATTTCATCTCCTGATGTAATGGTTTTGTTCACTAACCCAATCAAGATTATTTTCCCAAAAAGTATTGAGACTTTCTAAAATGGTTACACACGCATTTATGGGCACCTTGACTGGGACTAGTTCTGTGAACCATACCTAACAAATTGACTGGGAAGCTGTGCATCAGCTTAGTATATCTGCTGGAGAATGGTTCAGCGTTTTTTAAACCATCCCTTGACATTTTGGTTATTCAAGGATGAATACCATAGGCACCTGGACAACATTAGAAAACTAGATGAGATGCCCCACAGATCATTTCATTTGGCAACTGTTTGTGTTCCAGGATAATTCCAGGTGAGTAGCATGGTCCATAGGAATGCAGCTGTGCAATTATTACGGTTGTCTTTTGAGGGGTTTGGCTTTACCAGGAGACTGCAGGAGACAGCTGCTATTTTGTATTCAGTCCAAAGGCAGTGAAAGGCAGAGGGGGCATATAATGAACTGTGCCATGAAGTCTTTAAAAGGTTTTTCCTCCAACCTAAAAAGAGTGGCCATCGTGCTGAAGCAGGATGATTTAAAAAAAAAAGATCCTAAGTGTGGCTCCTGAGAATACTGCATGAAAGCAAAATGAGCCTTGATTATACCCTTGGCAAGGAATTCTACCTCTAAAAGAGGCATTGGCACCATAACTGTGGCAGAGGGGTGGCTTGCAAAGGGGTAGCTTGCCCTTCAGACATTTCCCCTGCTCCTCATTTCAAGAGCTGTTTCCCTCTGTGCTGATGCACTGCCTATACCACAGTTCAAATGTTATGTTTGGAAACAGAAGCCTGTGATATCAAATTTCTAAAATTCATAGAGCCTCTACTTAGCACTGTGATTCTAGGTCACTAATCTTTCATGAAAATGCTGTTAAACAGAATAAGAAACAAACATAGCAGTGGAAAGGTATCTCATCTGCTGTTTACTCCTATTCAGGAGTGAATGAGAGCCTCTGCTTGTATATACAGGAATAGAAACAGAGTTCTGCTGTCCAGAAAATTTCTGAAGGGAAATATTTTGCACTAAAGTTGAACAGTTCCTTCATCTCTTTTCATCTGATTCTCCGCTTCTCAGTGGCCCATACCCTAGTCTTTTGAGCTACCAAATACATAAGCCATCTGTTTTCTACCTTCATCACAGGCTCAGGGAAGCATGATAGTATCCATCCAGAGCCTACACAACGCCAGCATCTGAGCATGCATTTCCGTGCTACTCTCCTTGTTTTGAAAATCTTCCATATACTTCACATATAACAGCCTGCTTCCTGAGACTTCGCTTTTGCTTCATCCTTTTATATCCTCCATTTGTCAATAACACTCATTTCAAATTCAGTAAATTAATGTTCTGCATTTACATGGTATGTTATGTGAAGATATGCTATCTCTTTACAATCTTTCATAGTTAATCAGGATCAGTAGATGACCTATTTTAAAGACGTTGAGGTAAAGAAACTGACACCGAGAATCTAAAGCCAAAAGCAAATACTACTGCCAAAACTAGGAGCACTGAGCATTTAGCCATGATTCATGGCACAGTGCCCTGACTGTCCAGTGTAACAAAGTATTGGTCACTCCTACAGATTTTGTTACCCCACATACAAATTTGAATATTTTAACAAAAAAAGACAGTTCAAAAGATTATTTTTTTTTTAATAAAGCATTCCCTTAGCACTCTACCTAGCAGAGATTTGACGTATGTATTTAGTGCTTAGCATGAGTAGTCGATTGATTCAAGGAAACTACTCATATGCCCTAAGTTAGTCTGGAGTTGGTCTGTAAGGCAGTATTTAAGTAATCCTTTATACCATAGCTTTACCATTCCTGATCACTTTTTATCTTTTTATTAACCCTATCTAATTTCAAATGTTTTGCATTACTGTTTCCCTGAAGACTTCAGCCAGCCAGCGAGATGCTTTCAGTGAAAATGCAGTGTGCTGTGGAACCAGCTTGGGTTCTCAGTTACTTGCTGAAGTTTTGACTACGTGCAGAGCCAGAGAACTTGGACTGCCTGGATTTCCTAGTTGTCTAATTTTTGCAGGGAATGATCCACTCTGAAACTGGTTGAGGAAAATACGTCATTTTCATGTGGGTTTTTTTTCCCCCTCCTTATTTAAAGGGGGATTTAAACACATTAAAATAAGTTCCCTTCCCAGCAAAAGAAAGTATAAATCAATAAAAAGCGCTTTCAAAAAGTAGTGTATCTAAAACTTCAAAACAGATGTGTTAATTAAATCTCCCTCTCCTCATCTTATTTATTTTAAAAATAGAAAAGAACATCATGTCCATGGTGACTGTAAAGGGTCATGGGAAGACATTGCATTCGCAATTGTATTTGGCTGAGAAATCCCAAACCAGGAAATTGTTCTTGTTTGGGTTGCTCTTTTTCATGGAATTGTGACCTTTTGTAGTTCATGTGTGTTCCAAGCATTTGAAATATTCGCAAATTAGTCAAATGGTTCAAAGCCTTGCTGCTAGTTGTATTTGAATTTGAATTTCCTGTTTTTTCCTTAGCTTGGATTCCACAGAGTAAAATTAGCAGTAGTTTGCCAGTGTGTGTTTTGTTTCAAAGTGCTGAGAAGCTGCTGACTATCTGCCAGTTACCCAGTCAAAACCAAGAAGAATAGCTAAGAACATCTTCCAATTTTCAGTTACCTTCTGCTGCAAATTTGCATTTAGAACCACACAAACATCAAACTGTCACTGAATATGCAGAAAGCAGGTCTTTTATTAAAAAAAAAAAAAAGCATTAATAACAAAAGATAGGTAAAGCACTGCTTGATTAAGGTTAAAATTGGACACTGACCAGTTTTCACACAGGATAAAGTTACTGGATTCCTCTGTTTCAGATCAGGAAGACACTCCCAATATTTAACATTTCAAGAAGGTGTGTGTCTATTGGTTTCAGCAGAGCTATGCCACTTTATACTAGGTGAAGATCTAGCATTACACTTACAAACATACTTTTGAAAACCGTTAATCTTGGCATTCTGAAAGAGCTACTAGAGTAATAGCTCTAAAACACAGTTATCAGTTCACACTATATAATTTTGTGGGAAAGGAGATTAGATTTTATTTTGTTCTGGTTTATTGTTGAATTTAGCCAGGGTAGAATGTGACTTATCCACTGAGTTATTTTCATCTGTCTTAAACACTGTAATTTTCTATGTCATAATTTGCTGATACTGTGGATAATTGCTTGGTCTCCAAACCATCAGAAACCATTGCATCACTGCAGGTATTTTTCTTGAATGCCATTGAGGAATCAATGCCCAATAACAAGCAAAGCAAAAGTGTGCATTAAAAAGAAAGGATTATTTCAACAAGAACTGCTACTGTGGTGCTTGCTATTATGAGCAATTGCACTGATATTAGAAGCATCATTGGAGTTTGGAGTTTTATAGTGGCAACAAATTTAAAGTGGATCCAAAAAGGACGAATGGCTGAAATTATATGAAAATGTAGGATAGTCTGATCCAGAATGTATCTGATCTAGAATATATCTGAGGGTAACTGAGCATCCACATTGTTACTGTCTGGACTATCTTGGATATGCACATGTGGTCTAGTCTTCACGGTCAAGGTTTTTTGAATGGTTTAGTGTACATTGTCTCCTCTGGCTTCCACTCAAATACGCCCTCCTGATACTTCATTCTTGACTCTGAAATTGTAAAATAAATTACCCTGGGGTCATTAGTTCTTCAGTTCTGTCTGGATGAGAATGGGTAGCCAAGTAGCAACAGATAGCAGGCATTTCAGCAAGTAGCAACAAACTGAGGTACAACTCCAACTACACTCCTAACCAGACAGTTGTCAGAGATGCTCACACACTGGAGAATGCAGCAGGCTGTAGAAATTACAATTATAGTGACTTCCCATTTTTTGAATTTTGGTCGTATAAAATCCCTTTAACTTGTTAGCTGGATTTTTCTCAGCCTATCGAAGAAAAAATGTGCTTCTGAGAGTCCACCAGGACATTACCTTTTAGTAACTTCCAGAAGCTGTTAGTTTACTTTTCATTCTGTTAGTGAGTACAGGTTAAATACAGCTTTCAGCAGAAAGGCTCCTGCTGGCTTGAGTTTGAGGTGGTTGCTACTGTCCTGGATAAAAAACTATATCACAGGGGTATCATCAAGAGAATCAGTGGAGGATATCATCTTTATTATTTTTAGTATGATTTCCTTTCATTTCTTCTTGAGTCCTGTGGGTGAATGACAGCAAATCACTGCCTTAATGTATATGCCTACAAATGTTGCTTGTGACTGTAAAATTTTCTCATCTCTTTATAAATCCAATGCTTGTTTCTAAAAGTGTCTATTATTACATATTACAGAGGCTGGTTTTACACCTGAATGGAGAAATACAATCACTTCTCTATTTTAAATCTTTCTGCCTTTTGCTCAGCGTAGGACAGTCCACTCTTATTAGGAAACAAAGGAATAGCTGAATCATTTTAATGCTGTCCTCTGTATAGTTCATCTTCCTACAATTTACTGACAATCAGTAGTCTCTGTTTCTCCATGGACTTCTAAAATTCTCTACAGGAAACGGCAACTGTGATGAAACAAAATTTGGAGTTTCTCCCCACCCCGATACTGAAAAAACATTACTCTAGTGATTGTAAAGTCAGAGAAGATACATCAAGATTACATGAACATCACTCAGAGCTGCCATCTTCCTCAGCTGGTTCTGGTCTCTGCCATGAAAAAGCACAAAGGGCTCACTGCGTTGGAGACTTCTGAGATGACCTTTCTTCACTGATAGTGTTATGGTTTAAGTGTATTTCTCTCAAGAGTGATCTCTGACCAATATGTAAATCTTTAAAAGAGGAGATAAAACCACCTACTTTTTGTGCCAAAATTGATCATTTCGTTTCTCTCTCTCATTTTTAACAGGAAGTTATTTTCTAG